ACCTGGGAATTTATGAAAAAATTACTTTGTTCTCTTTTTCCACAACTTGCTCTTCCTCTTCTTTATTGTCCCAATCATCCAAATTATCCTGCAGTTCATTATTACTGATCAGAAAGAACACTAGTGACAGCGAAACAAGCGAATTCATAGACCGTTACTAACCTCTTTCAAAGCCGTACCTGTATCTGTATTCTCCGGGCGTTTCACGAACTTCTCTTGTATGACTCGACCTTGTTGGGAAGTCAACAGTTCAGAGCCAAGTGTTTCAAAATGCCGAATACCAGCCGACATGCCGGTAGTAATTGTCACATTTTCTAGATTACGCTGAATTGTGACATTCTAATAAGATAATGTTTAGTCACATATAAAAAAATAATTTAGCCACTTACCATATTCACTCTGTTAACTTCTGATCTTGCTAATTTCTCCATATGTTCATTCCACAAGTCGATGTTTGCTTGAAGTTTATTGGATTTCTAGTTTAAAAATAAAAATATTAATATATTATAACTTTCACAATATATATTGATCTTGCATGGATTTTTCTTGTCATTTTTTATCGATCACTTTTACTGAACTCGATCCCATTGTGATAATCAATTTTTTCTTCTTACAAGCAAAGTGTCATAAACCACGCGTGCCATAGACACATTCCCCACTTCGAGCGAGCGAACCGCTTGCCTTCTGTGATAAAGTCACTCGACCGGCGACCGCAGGGGTATGGTTTTATTGGTTTCATTCGAACAGCAAAACCATGCGTGCCATAGACACATTCCCCACTTCGAGCGAGCGAACCACTTGCCTTCTGTGATAAAGTCACTCAACCGGAGACCGCAGGGGTATGGTTTTATTGGTTTCATTCGAACAGCAAAACCATGCGTGCCATAGACACATTCCCCACTTCGAGCGAGCGAACCGCTTGCCTTCTGTGATAAAGTCACTCGGCCGGAAACCGCAGGGGTATGGTTTCATTTGTTTCATTCGAACAGCACAAACCACGCGTGCCATAGACACATTCCCCACTTCGAGCGAGCGAACCGCTTGTCTTCTGTGATAAAGTCACTCGGCCGGAGACCGCAGGGGTATGATTTGTGCAAATATGCTGGGAAGAGTAGAAACTTAACTTTAAGCCTTGTTTCATTCTACTTGCTTGCTGATATAGGACCTTTTTCCGGAAGTATTTCAAGAAGCGTTTTTAGCTCAGATCCAAGCGCATTATGAGAATCATATTTGTTCGTTTCGGGTACTTTTTTAACATAAAACATATCCCAATCGGTAACTCCTCATTCCTCAAGAGGCCTGCGCCAATATTCTTAGAAGAAGCTAGTATCAGCAATGAGATTAAATAAGCTTATTGAAACAACAGGAGAAAAGGTTCACCTGGATAACAAAGAAATGAAATTATTTCTTCTGGTAGTCTTGTCATTAAAAATTTGAAATAAGAGATGTAACACGTGTAATTATAATCTGTTCTCATAATGTCAGCATCACGTGATTTTTAAGGTGTAAACCAATCAAATCGTTAGATCAGTGTGTAACGAAAAAAATAGTTGAAAATCAAATCACTCTAATTCTCCGAAATGTTAATAATTAATCTTTAATATTTCAGTCAAATATTATAAAGATCAACAATAATAAATATATTATTAGAATAATAAAAGAGAGAAATTGATTGGCTAAAAACCTTTTTTTTAATTTAAAAAGATTTAAAAAAGTGAATTATTAAATAATTCAAAAATATATACTTATTTTAATAATTATTTAAAAATTAATTTAAAAATTTATTAAAAATATTAACTAATAAAATAGCTAGAAATTATTTTTAAATTTATTATTTAATAAAAAATTTCTATTTATAATAAAGTGCTAAACTGTATTTCATATTTTATATCTTGCAATCTGATTAATTAATCTTTTAAAGATCAAAATAATACTGATATTTTTTTCATTATAACTAGGTTAGAAGAATATTAAAGCAGAATAATAAATTATATATTAATCTGAATTTATCTAATAATTATTAAGCTTATATAAATATATAATATAATATATTTTGCAAGATAATTATATAAATTTTTTTTGAATTTTTGAATAATTAATTAATAGAAGTAAAGATAAAATAAGAATAGAAATATAATTTATATATTAAATTTTAATTCAAATTATAATTTCAATTTCAAATTATAATTTTAATTTTAAATTATAATTTTAATTTTAAATTATAATTTTAATTTTTAATTATAATTTAATTAATAAGATAATAATTAATATAATTATTTATAAATTTATTAATTATTATAAGATTTTATTATAAATTTTATAATTTATAATTTTAGTTATAATTATAACTAACTTTTATTATTAACTACTTAATTATAATAATTTTTCTAATTGAAAAATTAAATTAAACTTGAATTAGATTTTTTTATATTTAAATTTAATTTAAAGTTAAATAAATAATTCTAAATAAATGTAAGATTATTTTGTTAATGATTGTAAATAAGATAAAATACAATATGAATAATTTTTAATTTTATAACTTATGATTATTTTTTATTATTTAAAAGTATTCAGATCTGAAGTTAATTTACAGAACAGACAGGTCATATTTATAAGAAATAAATAAATATGAAATATGAATAAATTAATAATAATCTATAAATAAAATATATATGGATTGAACAGAATTAATTAATTTAATTTGTGTCTCTGGAGAACAACTAATCATAATCCAATAATTAATGATAATTATAAATGATAATAAATAATAATATAAATAATAATAAAAGAGAAT